TTTATAATCGGGTCTGTTTGTTTGTTGTTTAACGCCGCACTCAGAAATAGTCCAGCTATATGACGGCGGTCTGTAAATAATCGATATCGAGTCTGGACCAGACAATCCAGTGATAGATATCATGAGCATCGATCCTCGCAATTGGGATACGATGACATGCAACAACCAAGTCAGCGAGCCTGACCGCCCGATCCCGTCAGTCGCATCTTACAACTAGTATGGGTTGCTGAAGAACTATTCTAACCCGGATCCTCACTGGACTTTGCGGGATTCACCTTGTGGTAAACGTATGAGACCTGCATTCCCTCCGGCTTTCCTTAAGCTGACAAGCCTGGAATATAACTGAAATGCTGTTCAAAGCCAAACTCATTCGCTCACTCATATGTTGGTCAAGCACAGGTTTGTATTTGTGTGGATCACCAAAACGGTAAGAGAAAAACTGCCTTATTGAAGCATATGGTCAATTCCGGAAAAAACCCTGAAAGATGAGGATATTCATAACTGTTTCTATGATTCTGATGCATTGGATTCAAGCACCATGACAGCTATTCCTAGGAATAATTACATGTTAATAGTGTTCAAGTGAAGAAGTAGAAGTTTATTTCTGTTTTGAAGGCCATCGGCCCATGTACGCAATTGAGACAACAGTATCAAACATATATGGCAGTTAGGTGGTAGATGACACAATATACTTACTATCAAGTGCATATGTACATTTCAGAGCTTCTGTAACGAACTTAGCACATTTGTTAAGGACTGACACATCATTAGAGGTCAGTAATTTATGAAATTTACAAATGTTTGATGAAATATGCCACTTCGGTATGTACTTATTCCCCAACAATACATATGCCTCACAATCAAATATAAAATGGAGTTCATCTTCAATGCTGTTAGTATTACACATCCTACAAATTCGGTTAACAGTTATAGCTTCTTTACATCTGTTATGACAAAGCAACGGCAGTTCATGTAAACTCAACAAACACATATCTTCTTAATTCCCGTACATTGATGTTTGTAACATAATATTCAACAGTCAGCAATGACTAAATATTCATATAATGTGCAAGTCGTTTTGAATCATTGATAATACTAAAATGTTTTGTTTTCCACAATCTTCTAATCTCTGTCTGAACATCGACAGAAGATATGGAATATCTCCAATATCTTGACTAACCCATGCATATACAAAACCATACGTGTATAACAACAATCTTACACAGGATGCCCATGTCTTCCTTCCTGCTGAATCTAACTTCTTAATAAGTATCTAACATTGTTTGGGGTAACGAACATCTGACATTCTTATCAATTTACACCAGTACTCTACACATGTTTGGTAGTAATCTATATAAAGTCCATGTCTACCGCAGTCGGCTAAAGCTGCACCACTCGGTACATGTTTACCAACACCCAATACATACTACAAAAATTGTTATGAAATCTTTCAATAACAGCTCTTTCATGGAAGCCCACACCTCCGCCCCATATAACAAAATAGGTTATATTTTACAATCAAACAACTTAACATATTTACAGGAATATTTGGGTATTTATGCTGTAATTGCTTAATAACAAATATAGCTTTAATGGCTTTTGAAACAAGAGTATTTGTACACACTGTCCATGACAACCTGGTAGAAAACATAATACCTAAATAATTATAATAAGTTGCTGTCTTTAGTAGCTCGCCATCAAAATACCACTTCTCATAATGTCGTCAATAACCACCATTTCGAAAAACTAATATTTCTGTCTTATCCATATTTATCTGTAAGCCCCATGATTTAGAACATTTACATAAAATGTCAATCTTTCTTTGAAAACCAATAACACTGTCATCAAAAATACATAAATCATCAGCATACAATAATAACAGTAGTTCCAAATATTCGACACCTATGAATATACCTCTTACATATGCATCTTCCATCATGGATTGAAATTCTGAAATAAACATTGCAAATAAAAACGGGCTGATAACACAACCTTGTCTGACTCCAGTTAAACTATCAAAATAATCAGTAAAAGTAGTGTTGGATTCTCTTACAACTGCTTTTATATTCGATTACATATTTCTCAGTACAGAGAATAATTTACCATGAATGCCTTTATTCATTTTTGAATACCACAGTAATTTCCTATTAACAGAATCAAATGCTTTCTTAAAGTCTACATGAATAGTATTACAGTAAAAACGTCCGCCACTTTTAGGAAAATACCTTTGTACAAGACATTGCAGAGTGAAAATATTATCCGTTGTGCAATAACCTTTCCTAAATCCTGCCTGGGCCTTAGGTATACTGTTAAAGTGATCCGAAAAACGTTTAAGACGCGCATTTAGAATAGAGGAGAATAACTTCCCAAAAATATCCATCAAAGATATGCCTCTATAATTATTAACACAGTCAAAGCTTCCTTTTTATGGAGTGTTACAATAACACTCTTAGCCCATTCGGATGGAAAATTACCCGTTGACAAAATATTATTATACATAACTAACAAATATGGAATTAAAACAGTACTGCAACATTTGATAATCTCAGCCTTAATACCATCTGGTCCCACAGCTTTACCCTGCGTCAGATCTCTTATCGACGATCCGATCTCTTCCTGTGTAATATCACCCTTAAGAATATTATTTACATCATCATCAGTACAGAAATCACTCAATTGTTCATTATGATTATTTATAACATCATCTACCTGCTCAATAATATCCGAGTCCACAAGTATATCAGTATAGTTTAAAATATTCTTAAAATAATCAAACTAATCTTCTTGGCAAATCTTGTTGGAAACAGGACTACAACTTGTATGTTTTGTCAACGCACTTATCTTTTTCCAGAATGTTTTACTATCTCCACTACTGTCTGCAAGTTCACGAACACAAGTCTCTTCGTATTCTAATCTTTTCTTCCTGCATAAAGGCCTGTAACTATTTCTTAATGTAGAATATTTAGAAAGAATTCCTTTATCACCAGTAACTCTAAACTCATGTAATACATTAAACTTTTTAGCCTTCATATCCTCACAGTCTTTATCGTAGCATTTTTCTCAAGATTTACGTTTCGATTTTCTATCTCTAGAAAGTAATCCGCATGAAGTAGAACCATTATATACAGCATTGGTCAAAGCTTCAACAGCTAAATCAACATTCAAAGACAATAAATGCATAAACTCATCCATGTGAAGTGCAGACAATAACTCAATAACGTTATGTTTAAAGGCATCACAATTTCATTCTCCATGTATATCTAGGAATATTATTTACATGCATTTCATTAACATTATCGACCTGTCTCTCACATCCATGTAGGGTAGGTATGATAGAAAAGTGATCTGATTTAGAGTGAGTATGGATGCTAAAGTCGGAAATGTTGTCAAATAAACAAGTTGAGCATAGTACATAATCAACCAAACTAGCGCCACCCTCCTTAAAACAAATAAATGATCCTTCCTTATCCCCAGCAAATCGTTCATTTACAATATGGACAGAGAACGTACAACAAAAGTCCACCGGATCCCTCCCGTATTCATTACACACATCATCTCTGGTACTGCGGGGCACGTCAAATACGTCCGATACATACTCCATGTCTTCTAAACATGTAAAAAATCTGTTGTTGTCGTCGATAATAAAATCTTTCAAATTACCGTACCGTGCATTATAGTCACCAGGAAGGATAATTTCGCAACCTGGATGTTCATATATAACACAGCAGACAAGCTTTTATCTAAGTACTCTATACCCTTATGGATTCTATTGTCTGTCATTACAGAAGTATTTACAGGATGGATATATACAAAACCAGTAAGTACATTACGTGTTAGATTAGATATACTCTTATCAAATAACAGAAATATCATGTCTGTGTAGTCACATAACCCGGGAGTGAGTGAGTGAGTGAGAGACTGAGTATGGTTTTACGCCGCTTTAAGCAATATTCTAGCAATATCACGGCGGGGGACACCAGAAATAGGCTTCACACATTGTACCCATGTCGGGAATCGAACCCGGGTCTTCGGCGTGACGAGCGAACGCTTTAACCACTAGGCTACCCGACCGCCCCCGCATAACCCGGGAAGATTCCGGGGTAGAATAGTCTTCAGCAACCCATGCTTGCCGTAAAAGGTGACTATGCTTGTCGTAAAAGGCGACTAACGGGATCGGGTGGTCAGGCTAGCTGACTTGGTTGATGCATGTCATCGATCCGAATTGCGTGGATCGATGCTCATGATATTAATCACTGTTTGTCTGGTCCAGACTCGAATATTTACAGACCGCCGTCATATAGCTGGAATATTGCTGAGTGCGGCGTTAAACAACAAACCAACCAACAATCAGTAATAACACGGCACAGTCCGTGTAATAGTGTTGGTTGGTTTATTGTTTAACGCCGCACTCAGCAATAATCCAGCTATATGACGGCGGTCTGTAAATAATCGAGTTTGGACCAGACAATCCAGTGATTGATCTTCACGGGTCCCATGTAATAGTGAAGTGTGAAGTGTTCAAGTGCTCACTAGAATAAGTATTTAAGACAGCAAGAATGCGTACAGATAGGGCACCGATGCGTATTACCTAAAGAGGAGTGCTTTGACAGTTCGAGAAACCGGTACCTGTGCGTGTAAAATACTAATGATAAATAATCCATTTCGGTCACTACAAAATCAATCTACAGTAAATTAAATGTATATATTAGCCAAGAAGGGACACGAATATATTCACATAAATATATCATTCTATTTCATGTCAGTTTGTACTCTAGGACACAAGTGTTTGTCAAGTAGCCTAAAAATCTACGAATCCCACTGAACGTCTGAGATTTCATTTGGATGAGTGAGTGTGTGAGTGAGTGAGTTTAACGTCGCTTTTAACAGTATTCCTGTTTTATCACGGCATGTAAGCTTGATGTAGGAGGAAAGCCCGAAGTAACCCAGGTCTCAGACATTTACCACTTCGGTGAAACCCACGAGCACGGGTATGGTGCTGACAAACCTAGAAACATAATCGGGGCGAACCGGTATTCGAACCCACAATCATAGGTTTCTGGCGTGCCCAAGGGACGCAACACTGCACAACGAATCGCGGCGCCCTTAGACGACTGGGTTAACCGTGCTCCCCATTTGGATGAAGTGCAATCAGTTTTCATGTTGCTACTTCATTTTCCATACAGTTCGACCTGAACTGTTGCATCACCGGTTAGTTTTCACTGTTACGTCGTGGGGGCGGACGCTGTGGTAGAGGTGGTGGACTGTCGAGCGAAGGCGGTCCATTGACCCGTTGTGGCACAGTGCTTGGCTTCAGACCAGTTTGGTTTGTCGGTTGCTGTGATTCGGGTCTGTTTCTGGGAGACAATTCGAGACTTCTATCTACAGGATGCCTACAGTCATCATTTATTTGATCATCACTTGAAGATGCATCACCACATAGTTGATAATCACTTGAGGGTGCATCTTGTGTATGACGTGACAGATATTTTGGCTTTGGAGGGAGACGTGGTTTCTCATTCGTTTTCGTCTTCTCAACATTGTTCACATATATATTTGTTCTTGATCCGGAGCTTTCAGACGAACTCCCAGATTCCGCAAGGTACTTCTGTAATTGTAAGGCTTTTCCATTTGTCTCATTTCTTGGCAAAGGTTTTGGTTTAAGGCTTGGTTTACTGGGACTCGGGTGAACTTTGAATGTTTCTTTGTCAACCGACACACCGGTGCCGCCACCGACAAGTGTAGATGACGTAAAGGACGAGCGTGGCCCATCACATTGTAAGGAAGACCCTTCCACACTATCATAGTCATCTGACAGTATGGTGTCTGCAGGATCAGGATAAGCATACGGGTCGTCTTCACTTGATTGTCCCTCAGTATCTACAGTATCATACATATCTGGATTTCTGTCGGGACGGACTTCATCGCTGAAAGAAGAATTATGTTTAAATGTTAAAGTTTTTGTTGACGTGATAGTAAACGGGCAAAACAATTTGTAATATTTTCAGCCTCTCAAGTAGGGCAATAAAAAGCTCTTGCCGGGCATGGGATGAACAGTGGTTTAAAATCAAGGTAATATATCTGATAAAGTTCGCCCCATGTGTGACGGTTGATCCCTCGCCCAAAATTCCAGATAGGATCTGATCTTGACACTTGGTATCCATGGCTCATGGGTTTACTTAAAAAGTAAGCGTCCATGACCTCCGTCGCAGAGTGGAGTAACTCACTCACACACTCCAAATTGGATATGAATTTACACAATCAAATTTCATAAAGAAAGTATGTATGGACGACAGCATACTAAATGTCTTAATCTACATGCAAATGTTATGAGTATTTATAGACAGCACATCCTACTGTTAGACCAGACGGAATTACTAGTATATTGAAATATGTATTTTTGAGAATGATGATTGCACAGTCGTGATTTGGAAAATACCTTATATGTTCCAGTAATTTCTGTTGAACAACTGTCATCCGTGGCCTTTCATGTCGTTCTGGGCTCCAGCAGAGGAGCATGAGAGAATAGATTGTATCCGGGCACTTTTCCGGTTTGGGAAGAATTTGATGTCCAGATGTTGTGGTCAGGTACTCATATAACTGTAAAAATAGGAACACTTTAAAACATATCTGAAGGGACCCGTGAAGATTCGGGATAGAATATGATCTTCAGCAACCCATGCTTGTCGTAAAAGGTGATCCGCCTGTCGTAAAAGGCGACTAACGGGATCGGGTGGTCAGGCTAGCTGACTTGGTTGATGCACGTCATCGATCCCAATTGCATGGATCGATGCTCATGATATTAATAGATTGTCTGGTCCAGACTCGATTATTTACAGACCGCCGTCATATAGCTGGAATATTGCTGAGTGCGGCGTTAAACAACAAACAAACAAACATATCTGAAGGCTGGCAAAATACAGAATGGATGGTTGAGGGTATTTTTAACTCTGAGTATTTGATGAAAGTTTAAGGAAAACAGGCCGTTCACGTTTACCACTTTGTTGAAACCCAATATGACAAAGGGTTCAGAACAAGAGCCGATCTCCGATACCAACCCAGGAACTAAGGAAGTTGCAGAGAATAAAATAGAAAATAACGATAAATACAGCGCAGCAATGACGTTACCTTATCCTTCGGAATACTCTCGAGTATGTTTTGATGTCTTTGATTGTGGTAAGTGCTAAATTTGGAGAACCCATTCCACAAGATCAGGCCAAAACTGAAGACGTCACTCGCCCATGAGTAGGTACCGTCTCGTATTACCTCAGGGGGCGATCTGACAAAAATAATAATAATAAATCATCAGGGACGAAGCTGCAGCAAACAATAATTTGTTGTGAGTGAATGGGTTGCTTAAAACTTTATGCTGCCTTGAACAATATTTCAGTGAAATCTTGCGTTTGGTTGATTCCTTAGTGGATAGCTGTTAGCAAACGATTATGTATTGTACCACTTTGCTAATTGTTATCTTTGCTATCAAGTACTTTTCAGTGAGGTCACTGTGAAACAACAAACAGTACAAAGTATTACGTTCCAGAAATTACCTTCTGTACACATGTTCATCCTGTGGCACAACAAAACTGTCATCGGCAATCATTCCATCCTCAGTGTCACGTGACATACGGATATATCCAAGGTCTGAGAAGTATACCTGTGACAGGGAGAGAGGTAGGTTTGATGAGTCTTCACTTTGTGTCAAATAACATGTTTATCTCGTGGATTGACTTGGCAGCTGTTATTGACAATTGGGCAAAAGAGCGACAGGTCATCCCGAGGATATCATTTTAGGATGCTTGAGGAAACGTTGTGTTGTTATTTCTCTTAGGTTTCTGTAGAGACAGATTTATCTGTCAATTAACATGCTTGATTGTGGAATCAACTGACAATTATTACTGAAAAAAAAGATTTACTAACATGTCAGCTTCAGAAAAGTCCTACCCCTGCCACTTATGGTTCTGACAAACCTGGGAACATAATCCGGGAGAATCGGGATTCGAACTCAAGAAAAAAGGTCTATGATCTTACCGTGTAATTGCCTTTATCTTCAGTATAAGCTATCCAAATATTATCTGCACATAGACAACCATGGACCCAGGTTTGCTGATGTAGAAGAGACAACGTCTTTGCCACTGCACTCAAACAGCGAATGTACTCCACAGACCATAGGCCGAGGCTCCTAACATCCATCACATTGCTCAGTGAGACACAATCTCCAGTTGGGAAGTCATACACCTGCGTATTAAACATTACCTTGGCTACCAACAGGAGTGTTATGATTCATTTGTTACGTTCATCTAATGCAAACGAGAGGTGGCTGAACAGTTCTAAGCCTAACTACGAAGGATGTATGAAAGTGTTAAGTACACTACTTTTCATACTTACAGGCTGCATTCGAACCAAATACTCAACCAAGCAGCATTTCTCAGGCATGAAAGAGATTAGGTAATCTACCTTGACGAAAAAGGACAAACTGGCTACTGCGCTGTTATCAATTATCTCCGACCGAACCGGTTAACTCCAACATTTCTCAACACGGACTTGGTGTCTACTTAAGGGGATGATGCTCCTTCCTTTGCCACTGTACAAAGGAGGGCAGCGGAGTTGAAGAGGGGAAGAGAGAGACTCGAAATTGTCCCAAGATCAGGAAGACCTTCAACTGCCGCCACGAAGGCAAATGTTAAAATACATATGATTATGGATGATTGATGGCTCACCACACGCCACATAGCCAGTATACTAGGCATCTGAGGAATGAGGTGAGGTGAAATGGGGTTTAACGTCGCGTCCAAGATTATTTTACTTATATAGCGACGTGCATGAAAGTGTGTGTGTGTGTGTGTGTGTGTGTGTGTGTGTGTGTGTGTGGCTGCTTGTACTAGTCCGGATTGATGCCAATTTCTAGTGCTTGCACACTGAGATACCATGCCGCAGTTTAACATGAATACCCCACTCAGACACAGTACACTGACTCCGAGCTGACCAGTCCTTGGTTTAGCCCCTTAATGCCGTGCGACAGACAGGGTAACAACAAGTACGAACTTTTATCATCTTTTGGTATGACGCGGCCGGAGATCGAACCCTGAACCTTCCGCTCTCTGGGCGGACGCTCTACCTCTAGACTAAAGAGGCGGTTTCAGAGGAATAAACAGGACATAACAAAGATATCAGCATGTTGGGTCCTAGGGCTGCCGATCCTTGATCTGAAAAGCTCAAGCTTTATCACCTGTCTTGAGATCGTTTTGAGGCAGACTCAGCTGATTTTGTTGAGCGATTTGTAATCATGGATGAGTACAGAGACTAAACAACAGTCACAGTTGTGGAGACACCGCTTGTTCCCTCCTCCGAAGAAGGCAAAGTCTGTCCCATCCAGATGGCAAGGTGATGGCTTCGTTTTTCTGTGATTCCTAAGAAATCCTCCTGGTGGACTACAACCCGTAAACTGACTGAAGGTGTGTTGTTTCACCAGGACAGTGCACTTGTGCAAGAGTCTGTTGCCGCCATGGATGCACTGCATGACTGTTGCTTTGAACTCATTGAACACGCTCCATATTCGCCACATGTGGCACCGTCAGATTTCCACCTCTCCCAAACGTGACGCAGGTACTGTCTGGCAAGCATTATGCAAATGATGATAACGTCATTTCTGCCGTTAAGGACATGTTACACCACTAGCAGAATAGCATTTTACACCAGTTTGATCCAGACACTCCAGCATCACTGGCAGAAGTGTTTGCTTCGGGAGATGGATTATGTTGAAAATCAAGAAAGAAGTAACCCCCATCAATACAGTCCATTATAATTAGGTTCAGAACATTTCAGCCACCGCTCGTACCTTGGAATATCACACACATTGTCTGGTTAAACAACACTAACAGCAACAAGAAAATGTCAGTTTGAAACATTGTTCCCAAACATTATAACAGACCTGTTTAAACACGTTGATGAAACCCACGAGCACGAGTATGGTGCAGACAAACCGACCCATGAAGATCCGGGGTAGAATAGGTCTTGGGCAACTCACCTTGCTGTAAAAAGCGACACTGCTTGTCGTAAGAGGCGACTAACGGGTGGTCAGGCTCGCTGACTTGGCTGATGCGGCTCTCTGACTTGGCTGATGCATGTCATTGATACCAATTGCGTGGATCGATGCTTATGATGTCTGGATTGTCTGGTCCAGACTCGATTATTTACAGACTGCCGTCATATAGCTTGAATATTGCTGAGTGCGGCGTTAAACAACAAACAAACAAACAAGCAAAGCAGAGAAACCTAGAAACATAAAAGGAGCGAAGAACTGGTGGAGGTCAAATTGAGTATGAGAATAGGTATCGTAGGCTGTCTTCATAACATAGGTGGATGCTAAATGACTGCAAATTTGTATTGTAATGTACAGTCGTGATAGTAAATAACAGACTCTGGTTTATGCGAATGTGTGCGAATGTACATTTATAATCTTGGATTGTGTCGTTGTCCAAGTAATCAGCGAATGTTTTAGTTATATTCCTGGCACACCAAACATGGGAACTGATTTCCCCACCTGAACTAGAAATAAAAGAGACCAGCGAAGAGTGACAAGAAACTCCACACAAGACCGTATGACAAGAGAGATGTCTTCAGCTTTCCAATAGTCAACTTTCCCTTCATGTCGAGCAATATTCCTGCAGCTCCAGCCTATGGTGTCTACATTGCACAACTTTTGAGGTACAATCGAATATGCTCTTTGTACGGAGATTTTAAAGAGCATCATAACACTCTTGCTTGCCGAAAAGCTGTTACAACATTCATGGCCTCAATAAAGCTTTCAAAACATTTATTGGTGGACATTTCTAAATTTGACCCATCAATGACAAAAATGATGTCCGATGCAATTCCCTACCTTTACGTGTACCGTATGTTCCCGTGTTTTTTCGGGTGAACTTGTCTTTGCATATGTTATATGGCAGGATACGCTCAGCCTTTCATGAACACCTGGTATCATCACTTGATGGTGATTGATAAACACATACTTATGATTTAGTTTGAAATGTACATTGGACGCTTTCGGAAGATATTTCTTATGATTTCGGAAATGGTTTTGTCGCTCCAATAAACACTTTGTGACAATGTGGGGTATCAAACCCGAACTGAGGAGTGAACGATTTAACCACAGGGCTAACCAGAGCCCCTATGCTATACGTAGTAGCCACCATGTCGGTATGAAAAGCTTTTGTTACTAACAATCTTACCATGTATTCTGTGTCATTCCTTTTCTCAACAGCCACATGGCCGTAAATTCCTGGGATGTTCTCTGTGTTCAATTGTGATTCTTCTGTCTGCGTCAGGCGACGACACAGTATGTCCATTCTCTGATTTGGTTTAAGCTAAGAAACGAACACGGGATTAGATAGTAATCTTGAAATGTCTATATTAACGGCTCACCATAGATAAAATAAGGGGAAGATAAGCATGTATTAAAGGGGGGTATAGTTAAAGTACATATTTTGAAATTACAGATTAGGTCCAAGTTATGGAAACCTACTGTGAAAACATCTAAAAAATAGCAAACAAATGGAAAGCAATAAGGAATAGAAAGATGAGAAGACAAATACAAACAGGATATCTGTATATATTTGCATTCCTCTCTTTGAATAATTGCACTGAAATGAGATCTGATTGGCATATAAAATTCGGATTATGTGTATCAGAACAATTCAGCCATCTTGTACTTGTCACTAAAATGACATGCATTTGACGTATAATGAATGAAGTTTCATCTTGCTATTTTATATATACAATGGTGTTACTGCATTGAAACTAATATCGTTATATGAAGGGAATCAGAACAGGTCGTCGTTTGTGTACATGTTATATTTGAGTTTGATATGTGGGATACTGGTTGTGAAGACAAGGAACAATGTTACTCTGCTTGGAGGGCAATCACTTCAACGTGTTATGCATGGAGGGAAAAGCGATGCAAAAGTACCTTACCAAAAAATCTACATCGTAGCTTGGGCCCAAATCCTCGTACAACGGTTCATCTTTTGTGGAGGTAGTTTGACTTTCTTCAAAATTTTGGTACTCATGGACACACTCGTCTGCAAGAGATGTAATAAAGATATATTAAATACGAGTACGTTACAGATGACAGTTATGTGTAGACAATGAGTGTGACTCGCCAGGGGAAAATATGAAAATGACATAGACTGTAGGTGATTATTTTTCAAAATGAGCGAACCCCATGAGCATGGATTTGCAGAAGACAAATTATCTACAGTCAGTCTTAAAGGTACCAACACGGCGTACATACCCTGGAGAGACGTTGGGTTAGTCTAGTGGTTAAAGCGTTCTCTCGTCACGCCAAGGACCCCGGGTTTGATTCCAAACATGGGTGTGAAGTATGCTGGAATGTTGCTATGAACAGCGTAAAACCACACTCACTCACTCACTACCCGTTAGGTATGTGTAATTGTCAGCAAACAAATTTATATTAATACACACATGAACTTGCTGGATCAACCGAGACAAACATGTTTTATTAACTGTTGAAAGAGCAGAAATAATCACTGTATTGAACAAACTAGCGGAGATGCATTTTCTATATCTTGTATAGTGATATTAACAATAGTGCACTCAACATGACTAAATTAATTTTATGACTTGAAGTTGGAGAGGGATTAGAAAGGAATAGACATCTTAATATGATGTTAATGTACGGTGTAAGCCTACAACATTGATTGTCATGGAAGAACGTACCATATGCATAATCCCCTTCGGAAGCCTGAAAAACAAAACATTATTTCCGTGAATTTCCTAATGTTCCTAATGGATCGACTTTGATTATGTCCTGTACTAGATCCCATTATGATAGAAATTTTAATTAAATCTACAATAAAACGTTTTGTTTTGATCCGCATCATTAATTAATTTGAAGGTATATATATATATATATATATATATATATATATATACTAGTATAAAAAGCAGGTAGCAAAGGTACTGTAAGTCCCCATGGTCCCTAGTGTGGTGATCTACCTTCAATGGCTGGCGATTTATAGCCTTTTTTTCTCATGTTATTGTAATGTATAGTTCTCTTTTTTATGATTCCATACAAGTTTTATATCTTTTCTGTGATAAATCTAGTGTTTTTACTGTCCTTCGTTGGCAGGTTTTTATTATAATTTTGATAGTATTTATTATATCAAACCCTTGATAGTCACGATATGGCTGAAATATTGCCGATGTGACTTAAAATTTTAACTCACTCACTCACTCACATCCTGTTGTTTAAAGACGCACTCAGCAATATTCCAGCTATATGACGGCGGTCTGTAAATAATCGAGTGAGGACCAGACAATCCACATGCATTATTTAGTCTATTGTTAATGAGATCGCCAAAAGCAGCTTGGTCACCTACTTCTTTTGGGAGACCCTGATAGGATGATCTGTCAAGTCCAGGAAACAAAATGTCTGGAGTCACGGAAGTTATCTTTTCAGGTAGTTCTACAAGAAGATATCACACAATGCATATACAGAAGACAGACAACCACGTACCACAACATGATTAATATGAAGGCAGCAATATGAAATAAAGACAGTCAGATCAATGACTAGAAACTGATAAATGATCAGCATGAGAAATATAATTATGTTTGTTTTATTTTGTTTGTTTGTTGTTCAACGCCGCACTCACAACGATACCAAGGTTACTTTAAGCTAACATCAGCGTATGAGTGTCATATCAAAATCAAGCTTATGTTCGTTTCTTTGTTGCTTAACGCCGCACTATTCCGGCAATTCCGGTGGTCTGTAAATAATCGAGTATGGACCAGGCAGTCCAGTGATTGACAACATAAGCATCGATCTACGTATTTGGGATACGATGACATGCATCAACCAAGTCAGCGAGCCTGATCACCCGATCCCGTTAGGCGCCTTTTACGACAAGCATTGGTTGCTGAAGACCTATTCTCTAACGGAGAAATATATGTCCAACTATTAATGCAATCCATGTTAGAAGCAGGAAGCAGAAATCTTACCGCATACTGATTTAATAAAATCAAAGAAAATAATATTGGTATTCATATTATGATAACATTCAGAAGCAGAAAATAAGAGGAGAGTCAAACGGCCCGACGCCCAAGGTATGTAATTGCAACAGTGATTGTTATCCCATTAGGACATTCTTAAACATTGACCTCCTTGGCAACTGCGTCCTTAGCAACAAGGATGAACAATTGGTCAAACAGTGTATTACGCTGTCGGAACAAATGTTATATTGGTTTACCGTTGCAGCTGATGTAACGATCGAAGGTCTCCTCCAACCTGCTCTTTGCCTCACACACGGACAGGCGATGGGTATCATCATAGCGGGTGCAGCATTGGATGGCGTCAAATACGGAGGTAGGGATGCACCTTTCTTGGCACAACTTCTTTCTGTCTTCCTTTATCTGGAGCATGAGAAGCAAACTGACTGTACACTCTAAACAAGCAGGGCACAATACATACATAAAAACTACGCTATACGTTATGTTGCCTGTCCAAAATAGTTCAAATTCTACGACAATTCATCCAGACATACATTTGTTATCAAGACATTCCCAATATTGTGGATTCTATGTTGGTTGGTTGGTTGGTTGTTTTGCGCCTCACTCGGCAATATTCCAGCTCTATGACGGCAGTCTGTAAATAATCGAGTCTGGACCAGACAATCCAGTGATTGATATCATGAGCATCGATCCACGGAATAAGATTGATGACATGTTTCAACCAAGTCAGTTAGCCTGACCACCCGATCCCGTCAGTCGCCTCTTACGACAAGCATAGACGCCTTTTACGGCAAGCATGGGTTGCTTAAGACCTATTCTACCCCGGAATCTTCACGGGCCCATATACCTCACTCACTGAAACGCATTCACAGTTGCAATAATCTCGCAGCATGATGATAACATTTTTTTTGCCTGTCCAGTAGTTTCAATTTCTACGGACTGTGATCCAGTCAGACATTTGTTATGAAAAATGTCCGGACAGTTCTAGGATAAGATGGCTTGTATGTGGCTATCATCATGAGAACCTTGATAATCAAAACCTAAAATATTGGAATTTATTCAATCATTAGGCTGAGAATTTATTGCAATTGAGAATGTGAGTGAGGGTTATCACTACGCTGATCAATATTTCAAAATGATGTGACAACCTAATACGTTTGGAAAGACCGAATGATTCACAACGATACCCAGATTATTTTAACCAACTTTAGCTTTTGAGCGTGAGGTCAACTAAAACAAATCATACAGGCACTGTTGCCAACTCGAATGGGTGTATAGGTCCGTTTGTCCTGGTAAATGGTGGTAATAGTTGAGTGTAAAACCACATCTACAAATTCACAGTTATTGTTATATGATCGTGAGCGTTAAGGAACATTCACCAGATTGCCAATGGCGGACTCATTTTGTCCTTTGAGATCTGAGTAGGGGAGGCAACCGTGTGTGATGACTTCATAGATGAGATGCCCAACCATCCAATAATCAGACCGCATAGAGAAATGGTGTTTCTTGAGGGACTCTGGGGAAGACCATCTCGTGGGAATGGTTGAACATTCTCTGTCTAACAATAAAGTCAGTCATTATACGTAGCAAGCATAGATACAATAAATATTTGTCTACATTACAGATTAGTGTATTTATTAATGCATTACCAAAAGTAGAACATGTATGGACATACCAACAAGAGTTTCGTCTCGTCCACATTTTCGAGACAACATGAAGCGACACAGCTTGACAGATTTGCTCTGTTTGTTATATGCGAAACTTGCAGCAGTAAGATCTCTGTGTATTGTGCCATGTTCATGAAGGGCGATAACTGCTTCCAGAGCTTGTATCAGGAACTGCATGAGCTGAAGAGGTTTAAACCAGTCCTTGTTCTTGGCACTGTAATATAGCACCTTCTGGAAGTTCTGTTGGCTGTAATCCTCAGTGATGTAGAAAACAGGGAACTGGTCGATTCTGTACGCCCACATAGACAGGATACTCTTATGTGTAGAAAGAACTCTCAGAATCTCGACTGTAGTGAGGTGACCACAATCCGACGATTTGGATGGACTTCTGCTATGTTCCACAAGGACGTCCTCTGGAAAGTTTGAAAATACTTAAACCACAGTTTGTATGCAGCAAGACCTTAACGTGGAGTGTTGATGTCCGATCGCGCAAACTAAGTAACAGATAGAGGATAAATTACAGTACCTTATCGAGATATATAGGTACGGTTGCGAGAACAAATGGTCAGCCCAGTAAAACGTTTGTCAGAACTGTACTCTGTTTATTCAGGAAAAGTGCTGCCACTAATACTCTGTTTTAAAACAGTCAATACTTGAGGTAAACGAATAATACATATATGTATAAAGTGTACAGTGTGCGTAAGCATAACTTTTACACTTCCCATTTGAACCAATAACAAAACTTAGAATAGGTCTTCAGCAGCACATGCTTGCCGTTAAAGGCGACTATGCTTGTTGTAAAAGGCGACTAACGGGATCGGGTGGTCATGCTCGCTGACTTGGTTGATGCACGTCATCAATCCCAATTGCGTGGATTGATGCTCATGATGTCAATCACTGGGATTGTCTGGTCCAGACTCGTTTGTTTACAGACCGCCGTCATATAGCTGGAATATTGCTGAGTGCGGCGTTAAACGACAAACAAACCAACCAACAATAACAAAACACCCATTGGACCAAAGCCTTTAGCCTTTAGCTGTGTTCTAATGAAACTGGGCACCTCCTAGTTTTATACCTGTTGGTAAATTGACGTGTATCATGATTTTTTCTGATCCAATTTGAGTTGAAGCTACTTTCCAGCTTGTGCTGCTTGTAGAATGGTTGGTTGGTTGCTTGTGCAGGCGGTTGATGCTGATTGGATGTAGATGTGTCAGAACCTCTGTCACCATCAAACTGTGTGTTGTTTCAGCGTTGGCATCTTTCCACAGGGATACAGCACCCTGTCTGATCACAGGGCTTTGCGAAAACAATAAACATCTTGTCATGACATATATGCTTCTGTCCAAGTCCTTCAGTGACAATCCAAGAGCTGTGAAAGCAGCCTTTGCACGATCTTCTATATCCTCACCTACTGCATCTCCTGTTAACGAAGTTACAGCACAGTGATTTACTGAAATGCATCTTTCATAACTCGCAAACTCGTTCCATTGTAACGTCCTTCATACTTTATAGAATTCTTAAACCAACGTCCTTAGGTTCGTTGATAGGGGATATGCGAACAACTGGTTATTTAGGGTGATATTAGGGGGCACGGGTGGCACGGTCTTCTAAGGCTCGTGGGTTTCACCGAAGTGGTAAACGTCTGAGACATGCATCACTTCGGGCTTTCCTCCCACATCAAGCTGACACGCCGCGAAATAACTTGAATACTGGTAAAAGCGGCGTTAAACCCAACTCACTCACTAGGGTGATATAAGAATGACAATGCATTTCTATTAAATTACAAAAATTGAATGGGCATTCCACACAATCCTGGGACAGCCACGTATGCACTTACCTAAGGCATTCAGGTAAGCAACCATCCCAGTAGTGACCAACTGTACAACTCTCTTTTGTGGTTTTGGTTTCTTTAACACGTTTCGAACTCTGAGTTTCCCTGGCTTCAGTAGTGCTGGGAGTGTGTCTAAGGCCACGAGGGCAGTCTGGGGGTCGCCATGAAACACCTGTTTCAAGAAACAAAACAGTTTAGTTTAAAGATTAATTGTGCAACTGAACTTTGGGCATAAAATTCTTAAAACAACTAAAAGTCGGAAGTGTTATTTTATATGATTGCAGCGTTACTTGCCTAACACCGATTGGTCGATTGAAACAAACATTACTTTGAGGTTCACATTTCAATTATAACTATACCAAAACAGAAAACTTTCCAATTTCGAGCTTTAGGAGCTCAAAGTGCAAGATCAATCTTTTCTTTCTAAAAGACAAGAAAAGAAAGCATATCAATGTCACTTCACTATTCAAATATTACATGATAATTGGTCGGAATCAAAGAGGTGTTTGTCAATGTACCGGCAATGCATCCGCAAACATATTGACCTTGTGCCATACATGTTCTTTGTTATATGTATGGTAACAGTGATCCAGTGTATAGTCTATAAAAGGGAAATCCCTGAAAGGGTAATACCATTTCAGCCAAGTTGATGCACAAAAACATTTATATGCATTCAAGAAACAAATTCCACTATTTAGAAGACTTGAAGAGGATAAGAAGAGTTTTGAAATTAGGCATTGTGATTTAGAATGTTTACTATCAAGTTGCTGTTTTACCTCCATAAGTGTCCCCAAGACCATAGAGAAATGAACAGGCCAGGATTTCTTCTTCACGGACCAAAGTTGCTTCCAATTCGTTCCACATGCTGTGACTGCTTTGGTGACGTCATCAATACGTTTTTGTATGTCATCGACAAACACACTGATGTCACTCAGAGGAACCTCGTTTCCTGAGCTTGGCTGTGAAATGTATTGCTTTACCCGTTTGATCGTGGAATCCAAGGATGAATGACGAGATTCTTGGGACACCGCCAAATAGGTGAGAGTCAGAAGGTACGTGGAAATCAAATTATGCAGGAACACGGGATCTATAACATCAGTCTCTGTCAGACAGCGTTCAAACAAAGCCTTTTCAGCTGACTTCAGATCACCCCGATCAATAGTGTCGTGTTTAGTTGAAAGTAAGATGTCCCCGAGTTTAGTTAAAACTTTATTCTGTATCACAGGAACTGGAACTGCCAGAAGTTCCACTATTGCAGATATATCCTTCTTTGCAAAGATTTCTGGAAGGACTTTGGTCAGAAGACAGCGAACTGTGTTTGATCTGTTGCTACTGTCATAAAGTCTAGTCTTGCGGCACATCTCTCGAAGTTCAACTTTGGATGACCCTGATAATTTGGAAAATAGATGTGGAATTAAGAACAGTGACCAATAAGACCAGCTACAGAGAAAAAGGTGCCCTAAATATATCCCTAAGACTAACTGAGTCTACAAAGAATCATTTGATGTTCATATACTCACCGACAAAAGAAACGCGAATACAGTATATGTTGGTTAATATATGTTTGTTTGTTGTTTAACGCCGCACTCAGCAATATTCCAGCTATATGACGGCGGTCTGTAACGTAATCGAGTCAGGACCAGACAATCCAGTGATTGACATCATGAGCATCGATCCACGCAATTGGAATCGATGACATGTATCAACCGAGTCAGCGAGCCTGACCACCCGATCCCGTTAGTCGCCTTTTACGACAAGCATATTCGCCATTTACGGCAAGCATGGGTTGCTGAAGACCGACCCGTGAAGATTCCGGGGTAGAATAGGTCTTCAGCAATATATCGACTTTATTTGGTAATTGAATTTACTAAAAATATACCTGTGCGTTTCTTTTTTTGAAGAGTGTATATCTAATGCCCGACATATCTCACTTCTACTGCTATGAATATAATTGGTCAACCATCTGTCTGCAAGCATCCGTAAAAGGCGACGCTGCTTGTTGTAAGAGGCGACTAACGGGATCGGGTGGTCAGGCTCGCTGACTTGGTTGATGCATGCCATCGATCCAAATTGCGTGGATCGATGCTCATGATGTCAGTCACTGGATTGTCTGGTCCAGACTCGATTATTTACAGACCGCCGTCATGTAGCTGGAATATTACTGAGTTCGGCGTTAAACAACAAACAAACAAAGAAAAGAAGTGTAAGCATCCAGTTTACAAGGTACATGTACACTGCGTTTAAGTGCAGAGTTTATTTGTATTGCCACTTATACTTTTATTTGGTGACATTATAAAGTTGAGAAGGTCACAGACATGTAGGCATAGATATGCACCAAACAATACCCGACATACCTCAATGCCAGAGCAATAAATGACAGGCGAACAGTCTATCTGAAGATATCCCTCTTACGACGTACAGTGTATTCATGGGAAGGGTTGTTGATTTTTCCTCTTAAACTTTTCTTTAGTGTCACTACACACGGGTCAGTCAGTACACACGGGCCACATTAAATGGCTGACGCCAAAAAGGGAAGTAAATGCAGCGTTTTGATTTGTCCGCTTTGCGACAATATAGACAGGTGAATGTTAGACTGGATTTTAGAAACTTAATCTATTTCGAGAAATGCAGCTGAAACAGGAACCGGAACACTATCGACACGGGATATCGGAATACCACGTCAAGTAACTTAGCTCTACATTGTAAACATCGGTTGCTGTTTTGGCGATTGGAGTGGAAGGTATGCCAAATGAATCAAATGACCAAAGTAAAGGAATAATACAAATTCTGTAGACTCACATTCATACTGTTTATAAAGTTAACGATAGCACAGAGATGAAAAGCTGTGACGCATGCTGCTACGTGTTTATAACAATGACCTGTTTTCTAAGAACCCGCTTGTCACCTTCCCAAAATGAGCTTGTTATTGCGAAAGGCGGATTTTGTTCCCGTTCTAGGCTTGTTATTATAACGCACGCTAAAGCAGTCAGTCATACACTCTCGGTTGTTATCTATGCACGCAGTTATCAGTGTTGAATTCTTAACGAACAGTGCAAACTTATTGCGAAATAGCGTGACATGGTTTCGATATCATTTTGAAGTTGCATATATGATTGGTGTTCATGCCCATTCACTACCATTTTGTTGATGCAACATTCAAACTGAAATATATGTATGATCTTGTGTGAACGTCGATGCTCTGCGCTATGTATACTCGTTATCACATGTATTAATATATACTTGTATCCTTTCAGTTATGATAAATACCCTGAACCCATTCGCTGTCCTAGTTTAATTTTGGATATGACGTTGCATCTCCATCTCCCACATCAGGACTTTGCCAATCATTTATCTCGCACGTGAGAGTACTATTTGCTTCCATGGCTGTCTGTAGCGTCCTGCCATTCGCATGAAAATATCCGGTACCAAGTGGTTCCGGGGTATTTATAATTTGACAGTAATACATAACACACTGGATCAATCATCGAGCATGGCCGCTATGCTGTTCACTTATATTGTAATTTAAATACCTACCCGTGATGATTCCGGGGTAGGATAGGTCTTCAGCAACCCATGCTTGCCGTAAAAGGCGACTATGCTTGTCGTAAAAGGCGACTAACGGCTCGGGTGGTCAGGCTCGCTGACTTGGTTGATGCATGTCATTGATCCCAATTGCGTTGATCGATGCTCGTGATATTAATCACTGGATTGTCTGGTCCAGACTCGATTATTTACAGACCGCCGTCATATAGCTGTAATATTGCTGATTGTGGCGTTAAACAACAAACAAACAAACAAAATATATAAATACCTCATTTAAACAGCAACTAAAGACACTTCTCTACCTGGACAGTTTATTGTCGTCAAAACTAACACCAATTGTTCCGGTAAAAACACATTTAAACAGATTTACTGTACAAAAGTAGCAAACAGAGACACTTCTCTACCTGGACAGTTTATTGTCGGAAAAAATAAAGCCAATTGTTCTAGTAAAACACATTTAAACAGCTTGAGTGTATGACATTTTTAACTCTGAGTAATAGATTTTGGTGACATTAATCCACTTACTTTCCAGATAGATGTGGTATTGTTAAGCTGTAATCATAACATGAAGGATTATAAGTTTCTATAGGAAACAATCATCAACCTTTTGATGTGGACGAGTGTTTAGTCAACATAATATTAATCTGTTTACTTGGCATTCAATCAAAGTTGGTTTAGTGCAAATAGCGACGTTTCTAGGTACAAACATACTTATTTCCATAAAGTGGAGGGATTGGCAAACAATCAAATTTTGCCTCTGAATGCCTCTCCCAAACATGATACACATACAAATTACAATGAATTGAAAGTGGCATGAGACATAGCTTACATTATAAAATTGACATTAAAGATAATTATTGCTCTGTGAGTGTTTAATTACTAGATTATCTTTCGTAACTACAGCTACGTTATTATTTACATCCAGCACAACAACATCGCAGTATCACATAGCAAAATCAGACAATATCTCTAAATCGGCAAGAAGATAGAATAAAACTGTGCACTGATTTTAAAATTTCAAAATTTGTTACAGTCGTTAAATCTACGTTTCTAGGTGCAGTCTTACAAGCTGGAACCACATTTCAGATAATCCTATAAACACATGTTTACGCTTCATAAACTATCTGCTATACTACATAATTGTGCCTCCATACGTTTCAGCCAGTCGTCTGACGCGCCGCGATTCGCTGTGCAGAGTTGCGTCCCTTGGGCGCGCCAGAAACCTATGATTGTGTGTTCGAATCCCGGTTCGCACCGATTATGTTTCTAGGTTTGTCAGCACCGTGCGCGTGGGTTTCACCGAAGTGGTAAACGTCAGGGACCTGCATCACATCGGGCTTTCCTCCCACATTAAGCTGACACGCCGTGATATAACTGGAATACTGTTAAAAGCGGCGTTAAAACCAACTCACTCACTGAACATTTCAGTAAGGCTTTCCATAATGGTTGGAGAACTTGTCACTGGCGAAAACATTTGAGCTATGATATAAACAGTAACAGATTTAATCTAATCAAATCTATGAACGAAATCCTGTGTAGAACATAATGACAAATATTCTGTAAAAGTGGTGTAAGACAATACAAGGTGAACATTTATCACTACTTATGACTACTACATAAATGACATAGAAAATTAACTTGTGTCCAATAATGTGAAAAGATTAACACTAAGCTATAGCCTTGGTGACGATGAACTGTCTATAATTATCTGCCGTCATATAGCTGGAATATTGCTGAGTGCGGCGTTAAACAACAAACAAACACACAAACAAACATATAATTATCTGTCTGCTAGTATTGTTGTATGCGAGCAACTGTGCTGGTAGCTGTCAATCTCTACGATTACAGAATTCACTGAATTCTATTACCGTTTTTTTTGTAAAATGAATAAACACGCAAATAGGTTTATTTGGCAGTAGGATGAAAAGTTAGTAATTAACCTATTGAGATTGTAAATAAGTATACATATATTGGTGTGATCTTCAGCAGCAACCGCCAGAAAATATATTGTCAACCAAGCTCACAAAGCATTGCATCTGTGATACGGACGTTTGAGATATACTGATATATCTTTTGAAATGTAAATTTTATTTTTTTCTCGTACAATGTGTCCTTAAGGGAAGGGTGTTTCGAAAATGTTATTGCTGACAATTCATCCAGACATACATTTTTTATCAAGAAATTTCCAATGGGGGCTTATATGTTGGTTGGTTGGTTGGTTGTTTTACGCCGCACTCAGCAATATTCGAGCTATATGACGGCGGTCTGTAAATAATCGAGTCTGGACCAGACAATCCAGTGATTGATATCATGAGCATAGACCAAGGCAATTGGGATCGATGACATGCATCAACCAAGTCAGCGAGCCTGTCCACCCGATCCCGTAAGTCGCCTTTTACGACAAGCGTAGTCGACCTTTACGGCAAGTATGGGTTGCTGAAGACCTACTCTACCCCGGATCTGATATTTACATGTACTCACATTTCAGGAGATGGTGAGGCTTGTACTGTATCTTGCTAGACAGAAAGTAAACCCCGGTGTCTCTACACTGCTGATTTTCTACATGACTGACAAAGACGTCAGGCTCTCCAAGCGGTGGGTTGGAATAAGAACTAATACCAGAGTCAGAATCATAACCATTCTCCTCCCTTGTAGCAGACGACAAATCTGAAGCAGACGTGTGGGCCAGTTCAGTAGCAGACGACACACAGCTAGGAGGCTGTTGGGCAATCTCCACAACCTTGTCAATGATCTTGTTATAGTATGAATCATTCACTAAGAGCATCTTTGTAACTTCTTTGTAAACCTCCGGAACTTCTTTCGGCGTACATTTGACGTGTATGAATAAATATTTCTGAGTTTGGTGATCTCGGAGAACGTCAGTTAAACTCGATAGGCGGTTGATCATGTCAGGGCACAGGTGTATTATTGTCACAAGGGTGCTGTCCACCATTTCCTTGAACCTCTTCACAAAAGTAGATCCGATGCCATAATCCCCCCTCCCTTCCATGACACACACGACCCCCCGGGTCTCCAGATCCTCACACATACGAGCATACTGTATTTCACAGTCAACATTCAAGCATGTGACTATATGTACGCGAGCGTCCGACATCTTGGTAGTAGAATCATCTGTATTCACACTGTTGTCGTCACGAGACACAAGGCTCCTTCAATAAACAGATATGTCTGTCCACCACGGTGTATCAGATTCATACATACATTTACCAGGCCTGACAGAAATGCGAAGCCACGGCCCTTGTAGATTCGCCTTTCAACTTGTAGCGCTTCTATGTGTCAGTAAGTATTCATGTCATTCAACTGTCCCCTTCTCCAAATAGACCGCACATGTACAGTAGATGTAACATCTGATGTAAGAATAAATATCTGCACTACATGTACATATACGTCACCTGAGGTGACGATAGAGAGAGATACAAGACTGAGCCAATCGCAGTTATTCAGCTGAACAATTACCCGAGACTGGGAATACCCGAGAGAGGCGTATGGAGTGTTAGGAATAGACCCGGATATAGTATGACCCTGCGTCTTCGGGATATAATACGCCTTTCTTAGCTGACCTAGTTTATGCTGTGAGGAGCTGTTTCTTTCAGGTGTTGTCAAGGTCAGGTGTCGGATACCCCCTATGAATGTGACTTACACAGTTACCTCCCTTCTGTAGACGACCCGTGCCTGGCCCACCCGAGTGGTACTCATAATACAAAATATGATACAGATTTATGAAGCATATTGACACAGCAACCACAATGTCCTACTTGCTGCAGCTTTGAAGATCTTAACATAAGGAGACGTCGAACAGGCGAGTATTTGTTTGTTTGTTGTTTAACGCCGCACTCAGCAATATTCCAGCTAAATGACAGCAGTCTGTAAATAATCGAATCTGGACCAGACAATCGAGTGATTAACACAATGAACATCAATCTACGTAATTGGAATACGATGACATGCATCAACCAAGTCAGCGAGCCTGACCACCCGATCACGTTAGTCGCCTCTTTCGACATGGGTTGCTGAAGAACTATTCTAACCTGGATCTTCATAGGTGACAGGCGAGTGAATATTTGAGGTGACTGCACATGGGTTGAGTCATAACAGGTTGGGTGTGGATAAAAGGTTCAAGAAGCTATTGAGAAGATTTGATTTTGAATAATTACAGACACAAATGAACACCGGAGTGACACCAGGTCTGAAAAGCTTCTGAGCAACATTCATGTGTGTTTATCGTCAGTGGTGAATATCGTCGCTATATCGCTGAAATAAATTAAATTAAATTTTAACTCACTCAGAGGCGACTGAATGGGTCGGTGTTTAGGCGTGGCGACTTAGTTGATAGCATCTCATCATACGCCGGCGGCAATGCTTCAGTGAATAGATTATTCACAGACAGGCTGGTGGTATCGCTGTGTGTGTCTCAACAAACAAACATCTATCAATAAACATTTGTTTTGTCTTACCAAACGGTTCAATGAATTATTCTATCACTAGAGAAATAAAAGAGCCCTCAACCATGTTATAATGGGTAGGTTCCATAAATATTTGGAACATTTGTACATTTATATGTGTCAATTGCTCTTTCATGAATGTTATATTTTCCGCCTTAATTATCCCAGCGGTAATATTAATTGCTGTAATATTTACAGCTGTAATATTTACCGGATTGAGAAAAGGGTCTCCTTACCCTGACACATCTTCAAAAGAATGTCACATTTCGGGAGGACAAACGGTTACCTAAATCTATTGTAAGTTAAGTTATATTATAACAGTTACGCAACAGGACAGCTGACAAAGACATCTGTATCTCTTGTACTCAAATATGTGCTGAGATAAAGTTTTTTAGGATGGCAGTTCGATAATGCAGAACGGATGCAAGCCCGGCTGTTATCGATTCCTCGTCAGTTTAATCAAACATGGGGTATGCCCTGATTGCAGCCCACTGATGCAATCCTACCCCTCATTGCGTGTTATTTACACAGTAAGTGTTTGTTGCGTGACGTCACACAACAGTACTCCCGCCATACGACGGCAGCCTGTGAACAATCGCGACTTGACTAGACTGAAGTGATCGACCAGTAAATCAAGTGACACGATAGGGCTAAAAACTAAAAACCAGTGCCGTCGCCATCCTGTGATGCAGTGTTGTTGAATTACATGTTTAACCCATTGTAAATATAAAACGTAAAAGCAGAAAATACCCAGCCTCTAATATACCCCGATACAGATTCTATTGGGTGTAAATGGCGAAAGAGTAGTGAAAATTATATGGGGTTAAACTATTAATGCTCTGTCAAGTGTGTAACGTTATACAATGACTTAGTCCAGCTTTTAACTTTTTTGGAACAAGTCCTTTTTATTTATGAAACTATTCACCACCACACATTGACATGAGAGATTTGGAGCCCATTGAGGTTTTAAGGGCTCGGTATTATCACATTATTTCCACTTACAATGGGGAAAATGAATCACAGCGAGTATGTTCTGGTCAGTGTGACATTCATGTCTTTTGCCTTAAGGTAATGATCAGATTCCGTCTGAAGTCAGTCATGCGCAGCAAGTCTCATCGTATTTCTGTCCTTGACTCGTGCTGTGCTGTGAATGAAACTGGTCATGCACACAACTGCTGCACGGAAACGAATAGGGACAAGGGAGGTAACTCTTATAGCAACAATGCACGACACACACATGAACATAGACAGACCAACTTGTGTCCCACGTTCACCTTCTATGCTGATACTTCTACCCTTATCCGTGAAGATTCCGGGGTAGAATAGGTCTTCAGCAACCCATGCTTGTCGTAAATAGGCGACTATGCTTGTCGTAAATAGGCGACTAACGGGATCGGGTGGTCAGGCTCGCTGACTTGGTTGATGCATGTCATCGATCCCCATGGCGTGGATCGATGCTCATGATGTCAAACACTGGATTGTCTGGTCCAGACTCGATTATTTTACAGACCGCCGTCATATAGCTGGAATATTGCTGAGTGCGGCGTTAAACAACAAACAAACAAAACAAACAAAAACCCTTATCCATACTACATATAATATCTTAGTGCTGGTGTACATGTAGTTGGCTCAAACGATTCCCCCTAAATTTGACTCTAGAGTCATATGGGCCTAGGCTCACATGACTCCCCTAGCCAGGCTCAAACCAGTCCCTCTAGGCTAGGCTAACTCCCCTACTGGGTCCAAATGACTCCCCTTGTTTTGAACTAAAATAATTACAGAAAAGATCAAACATATCTTGTATTATAAAGGTGTTCAACCCCTCTTCCTCATTTTCTATTCTGAAATGTCAGGTTAAGAACAATCCCACATATTGTTTGTCAGGTGTTTTAGTACCAGTTATTTTATTACAGTTTTATATTTAACATTATTTAGAAAAACTCCAGGTGCCTCTCTTAAATGACCATACAAAAAACCTATGATTTATTATCAGAATACTCTGTGTCCTACATCCGATTCTTTGATATCAGACTCAAACTACTACCCCTGACCTATATTCGTTTTTTGAGTATCAGGCTCAAACTACTCCCCCTGTTCTTTATCCGATTCTCTGATAACAGGCTAAAACTACTCCCCCTGTTCTTTATCCAATTAGGACCGCCTCCGTGGTCTAGTGGTAGAGCGTCCGCCCGGAGAGCGGAAGGTCCGGGGTTCGATCCCCGGCCGCGTCATACCAAAAGACCTTAAAGGATGGTACTTGTTGTTACCCTGTCTGGCGCTCGGCATTAAGGGGCTAAAACAAGGACTGGTCGGCTCGGAGTCAGTATACTGTGGGGTATGAGTAGGGTATGAATGTTAAACTGCGGCATGGTATCTCAGTGAGCTAGCACTAAAAATCGGCATCAGTCCGGACTATTACAAGCAGGCAAACACACACCCACGCTATATAATTATTAGTGCAATAATCCAAATATTTGATATAAGGCTCAAAGAACTCCCCCTGTTCTATATCCGATTCTTTGATATTAGGCTCAAACTCCCCCCCCCCCCCCCCCCCCCCTGTTCTATATCCGATTCTTTGATATCAGGCTCAAACTACTTCCTTGTTCTATATCCGATTCTTTGATATCAGGCTAAAACTACTCCCCTGTTCTATATCCAATTCTAAAATTTAACATCCTCACGCTACGCGGGGTTAAATCTACAGGTAACCTAGCTCTTCATTGAAAAAACAGTATGTTTATCTCCTAAATATCACTAATTCAATCTTTGATATTACAGAAATCATTTAGTAAGGTTCATAATTCATTTATATTATACATAGGTATAATTTCTATGACTTTCACCATCCCCACTTGCAACTAAGTATACTTGTCCTGTGATGTGAGAAGGCTTTGCTTGCACTTAAGGGTATTAGTAAAGTCGCTAAAAGCTGTTTGCGCCAAGACCCTGGTTTGATTCTCAAAATGGTAGAATCTGTGTAGCTAGTTTTGTGTGCCCCCAAGACGCGTGAGACAATACTCATTGCCTCCAGGTTGATATTATGCGCCTGCCATGCTTCTATGCATACAGCATACCTGACGGATCTCGAGGCAACTTAAGCAGGTGGTCGTGCAGCAGTAACTGGGATCCCAGCCGAGCGACATAGTTGGTGTTTTAGCAAAGTGGACAAAAGCTACAATATCTAAACATTCGTCCACCCGGATGACCAAGTCTACTTCAGCATCACAATTCGTCGTGCCGAGTTACGACCCATAGCCTTGCTCAATGGTTTCTCAAAAGCAGTACACGTCTATGGGCTGCTTCATTTTGGACCCTCCTGACGCATCAAAATGAAACAATGCAAAAACTGAAAACTGCTCAGCGGTATTAAATCAAACTCACTTATTCACTCGCTAACTCAACCAAACAGAAATGTCCTTTGCTTGAGAAACCAAGTTAACCAAAGTGATGTTATTGCTTTTCCTTAGATTTTGTATCCACACTAAAAAATCCTTTCAAACAAGGCTAAAGGTTAGCAGGGATCACTAATACCCCTGACTTTGTCTCCAACATTCTTTGTTCGAGACAAAAAAAGAGCAATATTTCTCAGAAAATCCGCTTATCGTAATCGAACTTTGCACTGCAAATCTCCTATTCGTACAGAAACCGGGACGGTAAATCACATAAATAATTTCTCCAAGCAATCTTCTAGAAGTGTCGCCTTGACAAATAACACGTTCCACAACCTGGTGTAAACTATACAGCTTTAACTAGAAGTGGATCCTCTGAAAAGGGGCATTAGAGGCCTAGAAACCTCCATACGCAGGAACTAGTTTAGTATTGTTCGGTGAAATTCCAGAAATACCAGAAAAGGGATGAGACAACCATTCAATTAAAACCGCCCCTTGCACCGAAGCCAACGTTTAAAATTCAATGGGATAAGGATGACAATTTTTGTTTAAAAATTGCAGTGATTTTTTACAAGGTCATGCTTTGGTACCAGTGGCGACATCAGGTTCCTTTGTTGCTTCAAAAGAACAGTACGACGATCTTCCATGACCAGCTAAACCACCAACATCACCACGCACACCCTCATTCATAAACCCCACCAACCCCCCAACCCCAACCCCAACATCCGCATCCGCCTCCATTCCCATTCCCATCTTCAACAGTGCCTCGAGACCTTACCTTAAACCACATCACTCCCACTATCTCCTATTCTGAAGACAACAATGTAACCTATGAGGGTTCTGTCCATATTATAATGACTGCTCTTTCGGCCTCCTCATCACTGCAGTAACGTGGTAAAAGGGTTCCTTATTATATATTTGATATATATAGAAATTTAGGCAAACTCAAAAAGCTCATGTCTTCACATACCGAGTTCGGGTACTTATGCAGA